CTAGAAATAAAAGAGTGTAATTAGTTTTAATTACATCTTTCACTGTTTTAGGAAGCTCAGTGCCAGTTAGAAATAAAACATTGTGGGAATTTTTTGTCTTTTTTTATGTTTCTCAATTTTATATGTTAGGTCCATTTATATTCCACTGGTAAATCTTATGGTGTTTTTTTGAGGCCAGTTGTCCTAAATTCTTTGTGGAAAACATTAACTCAAAATTCAACCATCTGATCAATTAGTAATTGATCAATTCTCCAATGTTATGTGTATTCTATTTGAATTAAAAGGGAAGTGTGCAAATGGCACATTATACCTTTAAAAATGACATATCGTACATGTATCTAAATTTATTCAATTTGACAACCTGTATGCAAAGAACTTTTAGATATTAGACTCTTAGAAGTAAAAGGGCTTCTAACATAACTCACTTACATATTTAACCTTTGCTTTTGCATTCTTGTTGAGATCAGATTTTCTGAAGATTTTATAAAGTTTAGTGCATAATTCTTCAATTTTTAAAAATCTCATGACAGGGGTCTCCCTGTGGCCCAAGGGGTTAAGCACCACACTATGAAGCAATCCACGGCCTCTGCAGCACGAGTTCAATCCCCGGCCGGCCATAGAGCACCCCACGTTGCGCAGCAGACCTCTCCTGTCTCGCCCGCTGCTCCACTCAGCAGTGTATTTCAGTCACTCTGCCTGTCTCTGGTGGATCCTCTCACCCCCTGCATCTCTGGCCTGTACTCTAGCTCTTGGGTGCATAAATAAATAAATCTTTAAAAAAAATCTCATGACAAATAAGCATGTTAAAAGCATACTCACATTAAGGTAGGACTACTCAATATAGATAATATACATTGCAGCATATCAAATAATTTGAACTAAAAGTGAATGTATTTTGACCCATTTTATTTTATTTTTCTCATAATTTATGCATTTATAAATGTACTGAGGTTAATTCAGACCACTTGTTTTTGAGTTATTTACATTCATCTGAATGCTGATGGGTAGGAGCTATTTGCTTTCTAAAAATAACATCTCAATTGTGCCTTTACAAACTTTTCTAAGATCTGAAAATAAGGTAAAGCATTTTATTTCATTATTTAAGTTTGAGTTTGGCTTAAAAAAGTAGTGAGTTTAAAAAGCTTAGAGATTTGGTAGCTAATCCCAAATGCAGGGACCTGCCTATCCTCAAAAGGTAAAAATAACAAAGCACAACATAGAGCGATTTGCTACATCCCACCACCCTGTCAAGTTGCAGACAATATGGGAAGATTGTTTAGCTGCTCTGGACCACCTGACTGAGGAACGGGGACATCTGAATCATAAAAGTAGCTGCCAATGGAAGTAAAGCTGCTAGTTATGGTCAGCTCTGTGTAGGAATGGGCAGTCAGCGCACCTGGGGTTGCTGGACTGTGTTGAGAGAAGAGGCTCCTGTTAGTTGCTGTGGTAGAATCCTGTCCATTGGTCCATCTGCTTTCCTGATCCAGTGAGACTCTAGAAGCACTGTCTTGGGGAAGCACTTCCTTCTGAGAAACCTAGAGTCAGGTGTGAATTGCTGTGATACCCCTGTTCCTGATAAGGAAGCTCACTCCTTTATTTTGGGTAGACTTACACTCCTGTGGACAGAGCTTCTGTTGGGTACTTAGCAAAGACATCTTTAGATATGAGGCATCTTAGTTTATTAGGGCCGCATAACAAAATATCACAAACACGGTATCTGGTAAATCACAAATATATTTTGCACAGTTCTAGAGATAAAAGCCCAAATTTTAGGGTGCCAGCGTGGTGGGTGAGGCCTTCGCCTAGGTTACAGGAGCCCTCTGAGGTTCATGGACGTTCAAGGTCCTACCTGGTAATATCATTATTTGGTGGGGGCGGGGTTAGGGTTTCAACATGTGAATGGCAGAATACAAATATTCAGATCAAAATGCAAAATATTCCTGGAATCTCCTAGTTTAAATGTCTACCAATGCCAAAAATAGGCTGGAAGTGCATGGGCATTTCTTCACTGGCAAGTGTCTGCCACATTTCCGCGGACGACTGCAGTCTTAGGGAGACAGCTTGTGTTTGCTCTTTTCTCTCTCTCGTGTTTGTGTTTTGTTAGTATCATTTCACCATATCACATGTTTAGTTGGCCAATTAGTGTAAAATTATTTTATAATTCTATGTAGAAGAGCTTGAAGATAGATATAAATAGGTGGGCATTTTATTTTCAGAATAATGTCAATATGTTGGTCACTCAAATATTAATATTCTAATCAGACTTAGGGGAACAATATCACTTGTCAGAGTATGGCAAGTCATTGTCATAATTCCTCTGTAAGATTACTATATTCATAAATTGGGCCTCCCCAGTGGCGCAGAGGTTGAGCGCTGGGTTGCGAAGCTGCCCGCAGCCTCTGCAGCGTCGGTTTGATCCCCGGCTGCTCCCCGGCCACCGGAGGAGGGTCCCACATGGCGTGCAGACCTCTCCTGCCGCCCGCTGCTCTCCTCAGCAGTGTACTTCGGTCCTTCTGCCTGCTCTGCTCCCCGCTCGGGCTCTGGTGAGTTCTCTCACCCTCCTGCGCTTCTGACTGTACCCAGTGCTTGTATGTATAAATCAATCAATCAATCAATCAATAGATAAATCTTTAAAAAAAACAAAAACAAAAACAAAACAAAACAAAAAAAAAGATTACTATATTCATAAATTAATTCAAGTTTTCATACTTACGTATTGAAGAATCATGGACATTTCTTTGCCCAATCCCCCTTTTTCTAGTAAATTCCACTAACTTTGACATGACTCTTTGCATAACCTGTCAAGTTTGGAGATTGCTACACCCAAGTCAGAGAAGCTCAACTCAGTCAAACCAGAACATATCAGATGGCAGCTTCACTTGGGATCCATGAAGGGGTAATCTGAGATTGAGATTCTGCTTTTGCAATACAATTTTGGAAGTTAATAACTTACATTTTTAATTTACAAACATGAAAGCTGATACTTGTGTGTTCAAAATCAAAACTACTTTGAGGACAACACCCAATTTAGGCACCCCAAATAAGAATCAAATGTAACGACATTTTAAATTGGATTTAGTTTCAGATGTCCTTGGAAACTAATTTGGGCAGGCATGTTTTAATTATTTTCATTATAACACATTAATTTAGTCTATATTTTAAGTGATTTTATATGCTTTTATCATCAACTTTTATCATCAACTTTTCAATGGGAAAATTTGTAGCAGTTTCAGGACAGAACTAGGAGGATGGAAAAAGTTGTATATTGGGAAAAGTGGTTGGATAGGAATGTAACAGACAAGGAAAGATGATGACAGAAACAGGGCTCATCACAGCAGTGTTCCCTGGCCTGTGGTTTCTAAGATCTCAGTTACAATTCTCTGTGGGAAACCAAGATCTTGTGGAGCATCCTGTGACTTTGGAAGCTGTGAGGCCCTGTGAAGTCTTCTCATTTCTTAGGCCAGATTCTCTAGAAACAAACTCTGACAGAAAGATTTGCATGCAGTAACTTTGCTGGAGAATGTGTTTGGGAACAGCACACATAGGGAGATGGGGTGGTGAGATAAAGATCATGCTGTGGGAGAAGGTGATAAAGTTACAAGAGAGATCGTAGAAGACCTTACAGGTACCTCCAGAGCAGGGGTGCCTTTTCCAAGTTGTCCTAAATTGAGGTAAGGGGACAGGGTCTTTGTTCTGTCTCCCTGCAGACTTCTGTTATCAATAGGGAATTGGAAGAGGCTGCCTTGGAAAGGTGTAAATCTTGGGAGAGGTTGCTCTCTTTATCAGAAGGCATTTGACTTGGTCCTAAGACGTAAGTTATCAATACTCCTGGCTGCCGGGACTATCAGTTCTCTGTTTTGAAGGATTAGGATGGGGTGACCGTACTCTTTAAATGCAGAGTATGTGATTATTGTATTATTGTCATTGTTAATGATCAGAGCTAACAGTTACCAGGACTTGTTTATGCATCAGACACTGTGCTTAATGCTTTATGAGACTGGCCACTTTAAGTTTTACCATTCTATGAGGAAATATATAGAGCACTGGTTACAAACACAGGCTTTGGAGTCAAAGTGCTTGGGTCAAATGTCAGTTCAGTTTCCTGCTTCCTAACTGTAAAATTTGAATAAAATCCTTAAACTTACAGACTATCTCATAGGTGCCTGTGAATATTCAGTGAGCTTAATTCTATAAAGCATTTAGATCAGCGCCTGTTTATATAACTTTTACTAAAGAAATGTTAAGACAATTATTGTTTTACCCATTTTACAGATGAACACATTAGGTATTGGAGAGATGAGGCAAATGAGCATGACTTCAGGCAATTTGACTACTGAATCTATCCACTTGGAAGATTTTCTGTAATAAAAGTGCTGAGCTTAAGCACTGTTTACAATAGCTAAGCTTTGGAAACAGCCCAAATGCCCAAAAATAGATGACTGGATCAAGAAGATGTGGTACATATATACCATGGAATATTACTCAGCATTCAAAAAAGATAAACACATGCCATTTGCAGCAACATGGATGACGCTGGAAGGGATCATGCTCAGTGAAATAAGCCAAAAAAAAAAAGAAAAATACCGGATGGTCTCACTCATAGCAGGAATCTAGAAAACTTAAATAAGGGACCAGGAAAATGAATAACTATAAGAAAGTGAAAATCAAAATCAACAAAAACTATGAACCAGAGACACTTTTTGGGGGGGGGGCGGGAGGGGAGGGATTGGGGTCAGAATGGGGGATTGCAATTGTATGGGGAATATAAAAATAAAATTTATTAATTAAAAAAAAAAAAAAAACTAAAAGCACAAAAAAAAAAAAAGTGCTGAGCTTATTTGATAGGGAGAAGTCCAGGAAATCTAAAAGATTGTGCTGTTCTTGCCATCTGGATGGAAGGTCAAGTTCAGCGAAGATTAAATCCATAAACTAACATGGGTTCTTCTGACAATGCAGCGATATTTTAACTTTAAAGAGAACATAATCATTTATGTGTTTATTCATTCATCGTTTAATAAAATTTTTCTTTTCAGTCGGGCCAATGTGTTCCAGTTATTCTGCTGGACTCAGATGAAGTGGTTGGCAGGACAGTCATTATTCTTGCCCTGGGGGATTTGTGGTGAAATAAAAGTAGGATGTTAGATTTTAAAAAAGATAAGCTAAACAGATATAAGAGGAAGACTCTTTAAGTACTTACTATAGTTATGGCCAAAACTGCCACTCTCATAAGCTACATGAATTATTAATGATGATTAATACCCTATCTCTCCCTGACCCTAGCTGTGGTCGTGCAGTGTGTAATATAAAAGTAAAATTCAGTAGGACAGGTGAGCCATTTCATTCAATGACTATATGCCCTGGAGATAGCGTGAAATGGGAAATATTACTTTGCTATTCAGTCAGTTAGTTTCAGTTTCCATTTGCTTCTTCTAATATGAACACTTTATTGAACTGGGCATGATTCTTATGTTAAAGATACTTACTTTTCAAAAACATGGCCTCTAAACATAAACTATTTCATCTGTATTGACTCGAAGAAGCAGCAATCTCTTTTAATCCTGAAGGAAAAAATTTCTGATGTTGAACTTACTGGTCTCCAATGTAGTATAGAATATGTCCATGCATGGTGCTTGATCTGTGATTAAAGGGATTTTTAGTGGCATTTTGATTATATTCTATTTTTGCTTTATATACTGACTTTAGACCCTAACCTCTGAATAAGATGTAATTCCATAGAATATTGTGCTTAAGTAAATGAACCCTGGAGTCAGGTAAACTTGGGTTCAAGTCACAGTTCCCACACAACTAGCTGTGTAGTATTTGGGTATTTAATTAACTTCTCTATGCTTCATTTTCCTTCTCTGTAAAGTGGGGATAATTCTATAGCATAGGATTATTATTAGGATTAGATGAAAATATTTCTAAAACACCGGCACAATATTTTTTTGAGTGGTAAGTGGTCTACTAAGAAAAAAAAATAGCCAAACATAGAACTCTGGAGAGTCAAAATTGGCATAACAGCTAAAAGTTATTTTACGCTGATATGTGTATCAGGAGGTAATAAAACATAGAAGAATATAGTATATAAAACAGTGATTAATTTTAATTTTAGAGTTGGTGCTGAGCTTGAAAGCCTATCCATTTAGAAGTTTGTAACTTTGGGCAAGTTATTTTATTTGACTTCTCTAAGCTATTCATCTGTAAAATGATACAACTAATAATTCCTAACTCACAGGGTTGTTGTGAGGATTAAATGAAATGATGCATATAATGCACTGAGCTGAGTTCCTGGCACATAGTATGCACTCAAAAGTGTTAGCTATTATTATGGGAAAATTTCACACACATTAGCTTTCCTGTAATAAAAGTGAACACTTCTGAGTGCATGCTTTGTGCCAGGAACTCAGCTAACAGCTTCTATTTAGGCAGAAAAAGACCATTCTATGATCAAGGCAGATTACCCTTGAAAGCTTCTTGGTGTTTGTGCATCATCTCAAGGCAAAATGGACTTTGATGGGGATGTGGAGAGAACAATCATTGAGCATAATTCATTAGAATTTTCCAACCCCAAGCCCTTGTGTTCTTATCTCCATCACTCAGTTACTCAATATTGCAGCCAATTAGAGGTCACCCCTTTCCCCTTTCTGGATGGCTCAGCTGGGTCTCAAATAGACCTTTGGACTTCAGGTGTTCCAATGAGCTCTTTAGTGTCTCTCAATAATTCTTCTGAAGGGTCCATTGGCAGATCCTCTGACCATACCTGATAATGAATGTCTGATCGCAGGCCAAGCCATGACCCTAAAGGGGCTCAGGCAGGCTTTGAATACTGTCAACTTCCAAAAACTACTATGAAGGTCTTTAATTCCTTGGAATAGGGGTGGTAGTCAACTGAAACCAAGTACTGCAGGTCAGTATGTGAGAAGCAATCATTATATTTTGGTCCCCAATTAGGCAAAGTTAGGGATAATATTGTGTTTTCTAAGACACACCTGTTTCCTGTGTTGGTGTTTGTGGGGGAAAGCTATAAATATGGTGAGTATATTGAGCTAGAACTTGGATGATGGGAACATCATAAATGTATATAGTAATTGCAAACATGGGGCATAGTTGCTAGTGACCTGACTCATTCTACTAAATGACACACTTTTCCTAAACCAGGGGTGGTCATGACATACTACTTTATAGAAATGGTCTAGAATCTTTCATTGCTATTCCATTAAGTTCTCCATCAGTTGCTCTCCTCTCCTCACCCCACCTTTTCTCAATATGATGTCCAGTTTTTTACCTTGGTGGTAGCAGGATTGTCCTGCTGAAAGCATCATAGGTCAACAGGCCTGCTCTCCAGTTCTGTAGGCTCTGGAATCTGTCCACTTCTTCTGGAGATCAGTATTAGGGAAGCAGAAACAAGAAGTGACAGCAACTTCCTGCTGGACTTGCTGTAAAAGGAGCAGAAAAAGCATTGACTATAATAGGAATGAGATTGCAGAAACTGTTTTTCTCTTAATACCCAAAAGTATTTTGCAAAATCCTGGACTGCTTAACTTTCCTGAAGATATTGACAAGAAGAGTTATTTATCATCTATTCCTGAGCCACACTGAGCATTAATGGGAGGACAGGACAGTCTTCAAGGGTTGGTCTGGTGGCTGTAGGACTCTAAGGGTGAAATTCAAGAGGGTAAAAGTTGGAGCTTAAGAGAACCTAGTTGGAAACTCTCAGTCCTGTTCGGATATTCTTTTTCCAGAGGTAAACTTTGAAGTTTCTGGGCTTAGTTCAGAAGATTTTCAGGTGTAGCTATCTTTAGCAGCAGTAATTTCCTAGCCCTTGGGGTGTTGAGATGGAGGTAGGATGATTGTTCCTCGGGCTTGTCATAGAAAAGATTCAGGAAGTACACAAAATAGGAAGCCCGGATAATAACACAAGGAAGCTTACAATCTTGGGGTTTAGAATTATTGAATTCTCAGTGTTAGTCAAACATCATGTGGAGTCATGAAATATAATGTAGTATCTTTAGAATTTTTGGAAAAGGCAGTGCAAAAGTCACTTTACCTTTAATTTAGGTTGTGAACCCTAAAATTAATCATTTAAGTGACTGTATTATTATCCTAAAGGCCCCCAAACAAATTCAATAGAGACAAGCATTTTTTCTATAAGGCATCTTCCTAATTGTGACTATCTTATTCTTACAAACGATGTTTTCTTTAGATTAGCAGGCACACAGACAGCCTACAAAGACATTCTCTATACTTTTCAGAATCAATAATATAGAATGAAATTGTAGAGAATATCTTCAGATTATTTGTCTGTATGATCTTTAAAATAACCCAAAGTGTATAAAACCAGGGCATTCACAATATTTGGTTTTCTAGCTATAGTCAGTGAACTCTGCTTTTTTTTCTCATCTAGATTTATAAGATTTGGCTCAATACCCAAGTCTCTGGGTGCACATGTTAACACGACTTGCAGGCAATAGAGTGCTTAGAAACCATAGTGATTTGTGTTGTTAAAAGAGATTTTTAAAGTAATAACAACTCTTGAACTTAAGCTACACTCTGGCAAAAGCATGATTAAAAAGAAGGCATTTGCAGTTTGAAAATCAACTTATTATTTGTACTCTAAGGATAATGAAAAGAAGCGCTCAGCATAACCAACCAACAATCTTCCAAACTTAATAGAATGCAATGAAACACCAGTTATGTAATGTATCACATTCCTAGGAATTTAATCACAACTAACACTCATTGTTCTCACAAAATATAACTCATTTGATCATCCCTTCTTTGTCCTTATTGTTTGTATCATATATTTTCAAAGACAATCAGGGGAATAAAAATGCATTTTTATCTTCCACTAGGAGACACCTCATTTTAGCCCTGATTCAATTATAATGCAAGTCAAATAATTTGCTCTTTATATATAGTTCATGTTGCAGTTTTCTTAACATAAATGCTTGGCTTGGTTCTTCACTGTAATGACATATTTGCAGCCCAGAGACAACGACAACGACAATAACAACAACAACAATAATAGTAATATTGTGACTAACACTGAGCATTTGTTAAGTACCTGTTACTTCCGTGTGTGTGTGTGTGTGTGTGTGGTGTGTATACATAAAATCTGTTAAAAACCCTCTTTTCTGGGCCTACCCTGGTGGTGCAGCGGTTGAGCGCTGGGCTGCGAGGCTGCCCGCAGCCTCTGCAGCACCGATTCGATCCCTGGCCGCAGGTGAGGGTCCCACCTGGCCACAGGTGAGGGTCCCACATGGCCTGTAGGCCTCTCCTGCTGCCTGCTGCTCCCCTCAGCGGGCGGCAGGAGCGACCCAAATAAATAAATTAAAACACACACACACACTTACATTCTTTTCTGGGCCTCCCCTGGTGGTGCAGTGGTTGAGCGCTGGGCTACTAAGTTGCTCACAACCTCTGCAGCACCGGTTCGAGCCCCGCCCACCAGTGAGGGGCCCACATGGCATGCAGACCTCAGCTGCGGTGCCCGCTGCTCCCTTCAGCAGCCACGCCTCAGCAGTGTATTTCATCAGTGCTCCCCTCAGCAGTGTATTTCATCAGTCTGCCTGTTCTGTTCCCCGTTCTGGCTCTGGTGAATCCTCTCACCCTCCCCTGCTTATGACTGTACCCAGTGCTTGTATAAATAAAATAAATAAATCTTTAAAAAGAGACAGCCCCAAAAAACCCACTTTTTACTAAGCATACACTATGAATAATTTATGCTGAATCGATAACCCGTTGACAGCAATGTTTTTTAATTAATTATATATATATATATAAATACATTTACATAATACATGCACCCACACACATCCGCAACTGATCTTTGGCCATGGCTCTCTAATTTGGCAAAAATATTCTTCATTAGAGTTCTTCCTCTCCAGATTGGATGATATCCTTTTCCTAGCTGGGTCCCAGAAGGCTGAACCAACGAAATGTGTATTCTTTCCTCTGTAGGTGGCAGGTTCTATGTTATCCACTGGGAGGGATGATGATAAAAATGGCACATGCTCACTGGCTTCCCATGAATACTTCCTTAAATGCTGTGTATTAAGGAGGACAAATGAAACTCTTGTATGTTTTTCAGTGTTTATAGCTATAGCTGTTTATTTGTGTTTCTTCTTGTTATACAATAAGAATCTTGATTTCAGAGGTTATTCTATGTTGTCCAGTGTTGCATATTAAATTCTTAGCACAGTGCCTGGTTCAAGAGATAGGTGATGAATCTACTGGAGGAGAGAGAGAGATAAACATAAAGTAAATGATACAGGAATATGAAGGTGAGCTTCGAGATTCGAGATCACAGATATTACTCTTCTTCCTTCTATATTATAGCAATGTGATGGAATTCTGTTATTTTATATTGAATTTAATGATGTTCATATAATCTTCAGATATGTTTTTTCGTAGTACTTCAGATATAATAATGCCTGAACCACAGTAGATGATTTTTTAAAAAAGATTTATTTATTTATGCGTACAAGAACTGGGGTACAGGCCAGAGGTATAGCAGGGGTGGTGAGAGGATTCATCAGAGTCAGAGTAGGGAGCAGAACAGGTGGGTTGACTGAAATACACTGCTGAGGGGAGCAGCCAAGGCGAGTCAGGAGAGGTCTGCTGCACCATGTGGGTAGCTTCCTGGCAGGGGATTGAACTTGTGCTCAGTGGCTGCAGATAGCTTCACAGTGCTGTGTCTTAACCCATTGTGCCACCAGGAAGGTCCGGGCATAACTTTTTTTTTTTTTAGATTTATTTATTTATGCATATAAGACCTGGGGTACAGGCTAGAGATGAGGGGGGTGAGAGGATTCACCAGAGACAGAGTGGGGAACAGAACAGGCAGATTGACTGAAGTACACTGCTGAGGGGAGCAGCGGGCAAGTCAGGAGCGGTCTGCTGCGCCATGTGGGTTTCTCCCTGGCTGGCTAGGGATCGAACTCGTGCTGCAGAAGCTGAGGATTGCTTCATAGTGCAGTGCTTAACTCCTTGTACCACCAGGGAGGCCCCGGACATAACTTTTTATAGTGATTTTATAACCCTGGTCCTATAATGATAACCAATCAATTTTTGAAGTAAGTAAAGGTGTCATTGCTTTCATTTCATAAATAAGAAGATTGAGGTAGAAAGGTTTTAACTAGTACAGTTTTTTTCAAAGCATCCACACAATGGATAATCTATGCTGAAGAGACAACCCCTTGCAGCAAAGATTTTTACTTTATTTATTCTTCCAACCTTATGGAGACATAATTGATCCATAGTAATGTTTAAGTTTATTCTAGAGCTTTTTCATCTCCTAACTGGAAGTTTGTACGCTTTGACTGACTTCTCTCCATTTCACTCACTCCTCAGCCCCTGAAAACCACCATTTTAGTTGCTATGAGTTTGATTTTTCAGATTCCACATGTCAATATAATCATCTGGTATTTGTTTTTTCTATGTGACTTATTTCACCTAGTACAATGCCCTAAGTTCCATCCATGTTGTCACAAATGGCAGGATTTGTTTGTTTCTTGTGGCTAAATAATGTTCCATGTAGGTATTATACACTGTTACAAATCTCCATTCATCAACAGACACTAAGTTTGTTTCCATATTTTGGTTATTATGATTATACTGCTAATGAAGATACTATATTATGAATGATACTATATTTTTTGTGGTAATGAGTTGATTTATTTTATCTATCTATCTATCTATCTATCTATCTATCTATCTATCTATCTATCTATCTATCTATCTATCTATCTATCTATATATATTACCCAGAAATAGGATTACTGGATCATATGATAGTTCTATCTTTAATTTTTGGAGGAACCTCCACAATATTTACCATACATTCCCGCCAAGAGTGCACTTTCTCTCCACATCCTCTACAACACTTGTTACCTCTTGTCTTTTTGATGATAGTCATTCTAGCAAGTGTGAGGTGATATATTATTGTAGTTTTGATTTTGCATTTCTCTGATAATTAGTGATGTTGAAAATCTTTTCAAGTAACTGGCTGTTGGTATGTCTTTGGCAAAATGCCTACTCAATTCTTCTGCCCATTTTTTAAATTTTTTATTAAGTTGTATGAGTAGTTATGTATTTTGAATATCAACTTCTTATGAGATACATGATTTGCAAATATTTTCTCCCATTCCATAGGTTGTTCTTGCATTTTGTTGTTTCTCTTCTGTTCCCTTTAGTTTGATGTAGTGCCACATTTATTTTTGCTTGCTTTGCTTATGCTGTTGGTGTCAAATCCAAGAAATTATTGCCAAGACCAATGTCAAGGACTTTCCCCCTATATTTTAGGAGTTTTATATTTTGGGGTCAAATGTTTAAATGATTTCAGCTCACTTTTGTATTACAAGTGAGGGCTGCAATTTTATTTTTCTGCTTGTGATTATCCAGTTTTCTCAGCACCATTTATTGAAGAGAGGATAT